CCCGACCGGGCCCAGCGCATCGCCGCCGCAGGCCGAGGGGATGCGGGAGCGGAGGAGGCTGCGGGCGGCGGCAGAGGCGGCACCTTGCCGCCCGCCTGCCCCTCTTCGGGTCGCCAACACTCGGGAACCGCCCCCTCCACCCGCGGCCGCCGGCGGACCGCTCGTGCACGCGCGCGCGCCGTTCCTCATCCCGGCCCCTCCGCCGGGAGCGGCTGCGCATGCTCACTCCCCCGCTCCGCGCGACCCTCCGCCCTCTCGGCGCGCGCTCAGCACGCGCCGCTGACGGCGCCCAGCGTCCGCCCGCAGTGGGGCGGAGGGAAGTGGGGCTACGTCACTGGCGCCACCGCCGGGTCTCGCTGTTGATTGGCTGCTCCAAGGGAACCGACTCCACGCCCCCCACCCGCCTCCGGGCCGGGGCGCGCGCCCTGGAGACCTGGAGCTGTTGCCGGCGGCTGGGCTGCTTACGCCAGGTGCGCGGTAACTCTGATCCGCGGCTGGGGCTGTGAGTGTCAGCGAGATGGACCCGTGACAGTTCAAGCCTTTGCCTTCAAATGACATGCTTTTCGAAAAGGAGTTCGCATGCAACTCTTTGTAAAGGTGTAAAATCTCAGCGTTTGGATGTATTTGTGGAGTTGGGTTCTTTTTTTTTTCCCCCCTGAGAAACAGCCTAGTGACCTGCTGTCAGCTATTTGCAAGATAACGTTAAAAGTACTCAAGCAGAAAAAGATCCGTTGCCTTACTACCTGCGCCAAGACTTTAGGCCTCCCCTTCCCACGGTTCAAAGACCTGAAACCATCTACTGAAGCAAGCAAGGTTCCGCAGGCGTCTTAATCCCAGTCACCATTTTAGCTCTTCTTTCCTGGCACTGTGCTTTGTATCTAAATTGTAGAACTCCAGTATCACTCTCCACCCAGCATTTAAGTTGAATCCTTCCTGTTTTGCCATCTTTTTATGAGTTTAAGGTTAGCCTAAGAATCCTTTCAAGCTAATATTCTCTGGGTCGTGTGGAACCTTTTAACTGAAAATAAAAATTCAGATTTGGCAGTAACATTAATATACACTGACCAGCCACCTCTCCTCTTAACAGCATCTCTTTACAACGTTTGTGAAATCTGGTAATATTTTACAAAGAAAGTGAAGAAATACATCAAGTATTCTTGGTAAAGCACTGAGGGGTTGAATCCCCTGCAAAATATTGCTCTTGGTGAGCACCATGAAAGTAAGAATTACATGCACACAGATATGTATTTATGTGTGTTGCTTTGATGTTGGAACACAGGAAAAGTAAATTTTTGGATCACTGTTAGGAGTTGAGCCCAATTTTTTAATTTTTTAAAGGTGTTTAGTACAGGGTCTCACTACGTAGATCAGATTTGTAGTGATCCTCCTGTTTTTAGCCTCCCAAGCGCTGGATTACAGGCGCGTGCCACCAAGCCCAGTCTCATTCATCGCAGTGCACCCCTGGAGTGGTGCCGGCATAGCATGCCTGGGATTGAACCCCCTCCTGGCGCCTGCCTAAGTAGGTGTTTTAGTCCCCTGAGCTATGTGGCTGGCCCTTGAATCTTAAAGCTTATCTTCCTCCTAGAATTTAGACTTAATTAGATCTATTTCTATAAGACTATAGCATAGTAGACATGAAAGAATCTTTTTTTAAATTTTATTTCACAGATAGGGAAATTGATTCTACAGGATTAAATGACTTACTAAAGATGACTCTGCCTCAGAGAGTGTCTGAATTCCTGGAGCTCTACTATTCTTCCTAGCAAGCATACTACCTGTCCTAACTTGCTGCTAACTACTAACTTGAAGTTTCTAGATGGGGAAGTGCAAGTTACTAAAAGTCCTTAAGGGATTTGGCTAGGCATGATTAGTGATTTTAAGGAGCTTGACCACACTCAATGAGGAACATAGAGCAGCATCTCAGAGCAGAAGCCCATTACATTCTCAGATCAAAAAATTAGTTAGTTTACACAGAATCTAATGGAGTTCTTAGGACAACTTATCCTGTACTTTTCTACTGTAAATTTGCCCTTAAGCATAATGGTAGCTGGCTGTGTCTCAGTCGCTGTGCCTGGGGATCTTGGAAGCAATCTTCATTTTTACCCACTTGATAGAATGAACATGTCTGTACCTGTGTGCAGAAGTATCATATTGGGATATTTTTACCCACATAATGCTCTGACAGGTTTTGTGTATGATTACCTGAGCACACCAAAAGGTGAAATATGCCCACACCACTCTTCTGTTCTATAAACATATACCATAAACGGAGTGTGGGTGTGGCTCACAATAGATGTGCCCGGGGACAGCAAAAGTTCATCAGTGCATTCTCACACATGGCACATGAATGGCAAAATGTGTCCCGGAAATCCAAAGCAGCAACATGTGAGTTGTACCCATGAAAGGCTCATTGCTAAATTTATGTGTCTTTAGGGTTTGTTTTTGAATTTTTTTCTTCTGATTTTTCAATCAAAAGTAGCCCTATTCAGAACAGTGCTACATAGAAGACCAGATTTGCAAGTTTGGAAGAGATCAAACGTGGATCGTCAGATCATTCATGTATGGATGATAAAGAGGAAAATGACTTTGACGTTGGCCATACGAGCCAAAGTTCCTGTGACAGTGAAGTAGAACAAGAATAAACCAATACAGATACAAGGAATGCAAAGCTCCTTGATTCAGATGATGAACAAAACAGCAATGTGAGTACATATTTGATTAGTAAAACTGGCCACACAATCAAATGAAATGATCCAATATTAGGACTAGGTCCAAAAATATAGTGAAGATCTTCCCAAGGGTGAAGCTTATTGGACATAATTGCAGCACTGCCATTTAATGTTGAAAACTGTAACAGATGAAATGCTATAAGATGATGTGAAATGGACAAATTGTGAAATACAAATAAAGGGCTGGGGGTGCAGCTCAGTAGCACTGCACCTGCCTAAAATACAAGTAAAATGTCCTGTATGCACCAATAGCCATACGCAAAGATACATTTATTATGAAACCTCACTAACAACCAAAAACATTCATAAGTCTGCTGTACTTAGCAGGGCTTTCTCACAGTAATCACAGAAATGTAAAACACGGAAAAGCAATGGGTGTTGACTTAAGGTTTGAGAAGATTTGGTTTCCTTCAAAATTGCCTGGGGATTGATGACAAGATCACCCACCACAAAACAAAAAGAACTAACAGCCTCGCTGCTATCCACTCATGTTTTGAGAGATTTGTTGGCAATTGTCTGGCAGTTTACACACCATCTGAATGCATGACTGTTGTTGAGTATCTTGCATCATTTCATGGTCCCTGTAGCTTCAGGCAGTATATTTTCAAAACCCTTCAATATGTGGCATAAAAAAACTATGCTTTTATAGATTTGAGGACTATTATGCTTTCAATTTAGACATTTATCCTGGAGCTCAGCCACCAGGTCCTTATTCATATTGTAATAAACCAAATGATACCATAAACAGACTTGTTGCTCTTATTTCCCAAACTGATCGAAATATGACTTTCAGCAATTGCTTTACCAGTTTCCAACTGATGTTATGTTTGCCAATGCAGCACAAGTTGACCAACATAGAAACTGTATGCAGGAACATAACAGAAATTCCAAATGAAATGTTGCAATTTCAAAACAAAATTATATAGTATAATCATTAAATTTCAGAAAGATGTAACATTGGCCTCATATGGGGCAAAGAAGAACAAATTGGGGCAGCAGATGTCAACTTCCTACCATGGTAGAAATACTGATAGAACAGCCTTAACAAAATGGGAGCCCGAGATGGTAACTTTCTACAACAAAATTGAAGGCAGAGTAGATGTTGATGACTTGTGCAGCAACTGTGATGTCACTCAAAACACAAAGCATTGGCCAAAGGTTGTGTTTTACTCAATACTCAATGTATAGCATAAATAGCTTGATGTTTTAAGATGAAAATAATGAGTGAAAAATATCAAAGAGATATTTTCTTAGAAGATTGGAACTGTAATTCATAAGAGATCATTTACAGCAAAGGAAAAAAAAAAAAACATTTCTTTCCTGGGAACTACACAAAAAATTGTGGAGCACACTAGTGAGCTGACTGGTGAACAGATGGACACAACATCACAAAGACCTATGACAACAACAAGAAAACCAAAAATATGTCAACTGTGCCGTACAGGAAAGGACAATTAAGCAAAGCATACATGGTATCAGTATAAGCTATACTTATGTATAGGAAATGGAATTTTCATGTGTGAAGACTGCCTTGACAGTTGAAGCAAAGATTATGTCTGTGGTAGACTTTTGTTTGTATTTATATTGTAGTTCACATAGGTTTTTGTTTCTGATGTTATTGTCTAGGTGTTGTATGCAAGTTGTCCCAGTTACTCTTCCGTCGTTGCTGGGACAAAATAACCAACAACCAAAATTAAGGAAGAAAAGGTTTATTTAGCTCACAGGTAGTGGAAGTTTCAGTTCAAACTCAGCTGGTTCCAAGGCAGAGTAGTGTATGGCAGAGGGCAGCCATTCCTAGTGGTTGAAAACAGCAAAGAGCAAAGGGAGGAGTGGCAGCTAGAGCTACTAGCCAGTCTTTCTCCCCTCCTTCCCTTGTAATGCAGATAACCCACCCCAGGGCAGTGATAGCACTCCCAACCATAATCCTCGCATTGAATCGTGAATTAATCACAAACTCCAGAAGCTGCCACATGACTGCACGAGGCTTTGGGGGGGATGCCTAGACACA